CTTTTAATATCAATTTGAAAATGTAACAGACATCATTGAATAAAGATCAGGGAACTGAAAGTCTGTGTCATTTATTGCTTGTGATCAGATACATGTATAGAGATTTTCTCTCTATGGTGGTCACCTGTCCATACTATAGTGGTCAAATTTGGTCTGACCCAGTCCCTTGAGTGACCACTACAGACAGGTTTTACTATAAATACATTACCTTGAGCTGTACTGGAGGTCTGTTGCTCCACACATACAGCAGTCCTAGAGCCGTGGCCTCTCCCAGCTTACAGATCTGACCCCTGCAGTCTTATAGAACACTTCAAACTTACATGTGTGCATATATAGCGATATATTGATACTAAAACTACCTTGAGTTGTACTGGAGGCCTGTTGTTCCACACATACAGCAGTCCCAGAGCCGTGGCTTCTCCCAGCTTACAGATCTGACCCCTGCAGTCTGCTGCTACTGTTTTACAGAACACGTTCATGGCAGATACCAGGGGTTCTAGTACTGCTAGGTTCTTCTCTTGTCTGGAATGGAGATGCATAGAATGGGAATGTTTGCAAGAATAATGTGCTGTGGACTGACACGGGAATGGGAATGTATCTCGTCTGGTACCTGAAGATCTATTCTTTCACTGTTCCCAACAAGAAAAGCTGTTATTACGCTCAACAATTATGTCTGAAATGTATTCAAAAGATGTTGTTACGACATTTGCTGACAGCATATCTAACTATCAGGCAGACTTTTCATATTTTAAGCCAAACCATACCTAGAAAACTAACAAATCTTTCACTGCCAACTAGGATTTATGAACTGAGTAGCAAAAGAAATAGAAATTTTGTCTGTCCCATCCTTTATTTTACATTACATCACAGTACACACCTGGCATTCTTCATGTACTCAGTGAAGAATCTGAAGAGGTTTTTCCCCCGTATGTTACACTGTACTGAGGCCAACAATATTATCTCTATTGTGTTGTTTACTGGTCATAAACAAGTATATTAGGACGCAACCAAGCACAACAGTACACACCTGGCATTCTTCATGTACTCAGTGAAGAATCTGAAGAGGTTCTTGCCCCTGATGTTACACTGTACAGAGGCCCCCAGCATCAGGGTGTGGAGGGTACGCGCCAGCAGTGTGCGGTCAAACTGGTCGGGTGGGCACAGCAGGGCTCGACAGAAGAGGAGAAGCATTTCTGGAGCAAAAAAAGAACAGAGACACCTGTTAACTGTGGGTTCCTGATAAATAAATACTCTCAGAAATCACATCTGTACCATTTTACCATTGGTATACATTGGTATCTGTGTCTGTTTAACTGGTGTGATGGAACACACAAGCTTTAAAATGCAGGCACAATTTGGCTGGTTAATATACATTGTACATTGAATGGTCTAACTCCTATCTACAGCTACATTTCAACATGTAGAATGCCTATACGGTACTTGTTGAAAATGTGTTCCACTTTTATGTACCAGTATTCAAAACTCTCAAGAGGAGTCAGGCTTCTACTGAATCTAAAGACTTAATAAGTTCTCTTCTAAGACTATTTGTAGAAGGAAGGAATCTTCAACCATTTCAATACTGAGTTGATGACACTAAAACCTGTAAAAGACATTACACTGACCACGCCACAGTTTGCTGTCAATGTCTGACCAGTATGTCCTGACTGACAGGATGTCCTTCAGTAGGATGGTACAATGGTCCATCCCCAGGGCCTTAGCTGTGAAGGGATCGTCCATTATTGTCAGGATGTGGTGGATCACTTCAACACACTTCAGCCGGGGTCCACCTAAAACACAAGAAAGAAAACAGAAGAAGCAAATCTGAGTCAAGAAGATGTAACAAAGTGCGATAGGGATGTGAAAATGAAGAACACAGAGGTAGGCTTCACAATGGTTCAAAACAAGATAATAAAAACAATTTTTACAAACTGTAGACATACCAATAATGAAGGTTAGCTATCTACACTTACAATACTTGTTTTAGTTGTAAAATTTTATCTCTAATCTCCATGCCGCTGGCTGTAATCAGTCTTTCTTCATTTTGTTGCACTTTTCTTCTTCCCTGCAAGCAGCCTAGAGTTTCTTTGCAGACTTACGATTAAGATTATGTGTTTCAATCATATAACATACGCAAATGTAGCAAAATGCAGGACTTACGTTTGTTTGCTTCCCTGACGAAGAACTTGAAGAGCATGCTGGCATCTTGTTTCTTCTTGTCCCTGCTAGCCTGGGCCGAGGCTGACACTGCAGACTTGGCATTTCTTAAGTTTTCAACCTCCTGAAATGAAAAGGTACTAGTATTTACATTTACTGAATTGCATTATTTGTTGATGAAGGTTAGACATCCAGGTAATACATGCACAATTATGATTACAGTTACTCAAGCAATCGGTGAGACTTTGAAAATGGTCAGACATTTTATGTAGCATGCAATACCTTTTGTCAGTGACTGTTTTCAAAATCAATGTTGACCTACTTGGCGGCAGCAATGCTGAACTGCAATCACTCACCGACAAACTCAACCAGAGCGCTGGCTCCTTCGGAATGGAAGTCAGCACGGAGAAGAGCAAAGTCATGGTGAACAGCAGCACTAGGGATGAGATGTACTCAACCATCTTCATGAACGGTGAGGAGCTTGAAACAGTGGACTCTTTCACTTACCTGGGGGGGACACTTACAAAGGATGGCACCAGTAAAGTAGAAGTCCACAGAAGGATAGCTCTAGCAACGGCAGCGATGGCTCGCCTTACCAGGATTTGGAAAAGCAAGAACATCAGCTTTGCAGTTAAGTATAAACTGTACAAATCCCTGGTAGTTTCGATCTTGCTGTATGGATGCGAGACATGGACGCTTCTAACAGACACAGAACGCAGGATCCAAGCCTTCGAAACAAAGTCCCTGCGGAGATTGCTTGGCATCTCATACCACCAGCATAAGACCAACGAATACGTCTACCAGCAAGTATACAGCCTTGTTGGCCCCCAAGAAGCAGTGATGTCAACTGTACGGCGCAGGAAGCTGCAGTGGTTTGGACATCTGACCCGCCACAACAACCTGGCAAAGACCATCCTACAAGGAACGCTGGAAGGGAAGCGACGGCGATGTAGACAGAAGAAAGTCTGGTTGGATAACATCAAGGACTGGACGTCCCTCACCATCCCACAACTTCTGACAGCAGCCCAAGACAGGAGGACCTGGCAACACCTCTGCTGCAAAGTCTGCCTTGTCCCCCCGACGACCAGTGTCGGTCATGGGACTAGGTAGGTAGGTAGGTAGGTTTTCAAAATCTATCCAGTTGCTTGAGTAACTGTTATATTGTGTTGTCTTTCTGAAAATATAATCTTCAATTCGCAACTTTGTTTTTGACTTTGGACCTTTTAATTACTTTACACATGGGGAAAATCTTGCAGTTTGATATCCATACACAAGTACTTGTACCTTCTGGATGTGACCCCGAATGACCTTGAAGATGGCGTCCCAGGTCAGACCCCGCCCGCTTTTTCTGCTGTCTGAGTTCTTGTCCAGCAGAGCGACCAACGCAGGCTTGGACAGCAGCGACTTCAGCTTCTCCGCATTTTTCTGAAGGGAACAAACAATACTTTGCACTGCAATAATAGCCTGGTGTCCAAACCTATTTTAGCTGCCAAGACTCTTTTGTTCTCTGTAAATATTCTAGTCTATTTGCGGAAGGGACAAAAGAGACTTGGCAGCTAAAAATAGGTTTGGACACTGGGCTGTTGTGATAGGTGTAACAACATGTACATAGGAGAAACCAGTTGGCTGCTCAAGGAAAGATAAGAACAACATTGCAGGGCCAGGATGACAGCAGTTTCCATTTCTATGCAGTAGAAAATCTGATAATGGCCATTATGTACATGTATATGCCTAGAAACACCGGTAGTAAAGGTAACACATATTTGAGCTGCCAATTCATTCTCTCCCGTTTGCAAAGAAGACAGCTAAAATGGGTTTGGTAATCAGGATAATAAAATTATGTGGCTTCCTAAGTTGCCATGTTTACTGTACCCTACACTATAGACTATAGTGTAGGGTACAGTAAAC